GCTCCAGCGGCCACACTGTCCCTGGGTGCCTGACATTAACACTGCAAGTCACAACTGCCCTTAATACCAAGGTAAACATGAACATCCTATTGGAGCAGCCCTGGTGGGAACCAACATCAGTCCTCCACAAGCTTATGGTTTACTGTACTAATGAATGGACAAACAAATAAAGCTTACATTTCTTCCAAGTGTGTATGAACTCCACAGTGGCATCTTAATATTATAGCTGTAGCCACTTATATACTTGTAATTGTACAAAATACAATAATCACTGTTCTTTAAAACCACAGGTCTTCCAAAGGGCAAGTTGAGCTTTTTGGTGTCAGATTCTGTAAGACAAGTAAGAGGACAAGAATGTTAGCACTCATACCTTGCAGCACTGGGGTTCTGGATTCCCATAAAGTACAATATCTGGAGTTAAGAAGATACCTACATTCCTGCAGATGTTTCACCTGGTTGTTTTTGGCTGCTTCCCAAACACAAAAGTTTACAATACTACACTGTGGGGGGAATTGATCGAAACTGGGGAAGACAGAATCTGGAGCAGTTGCACATAGTAGCCAATCAGCTTCTATCTTTAGTTTGTTCAGTTAAGCAGATAAAATGAAAGAGAGAAGCTGATTGGTTGCCATGAAAAACTGCTCTAGCGTCCTCTTTTCCTTTAAAGAAAAACTCCAGTTCGTTTAAAAATGAACCCTTGCTTGTTTTGGTGTAGGGGCTGGCACTCAGAACATATACTTGCCTTATAGTCGGTCCTGCAGCGGTGAGTGCTTACCTCTCTCTCCCTTCGGTCCGGCTGCAATATGTCCTTCTGCATCCTCACATCTAACTGCATTAGACATGATGATGTCAGCAGGGCTTAGACTGCCGGAGACCAAGCTGTGGGGGCTGGTCTAGCAGGCAGGCAGGATGGAGGATCAGATAACTATATTTTTTTTTTTATTTGAGCCCCTAAACTAAAAGCAGTTAACTCTTGCAGGGTGGAGTTAGCCACACAGCAAGCGTTCATTTAAATTCTAGGAGTTCAGCTTTAACAACGTTGCTTGGCTGGTAGGTAGCACTCGCGTAATAAAGCTAGAACAATACTGTGAGCTCAGACTGGCATAATAAAGAAACCCCAGGTGGTGTGTCCATGACAGCCTGGGCTCACAGGAAGGGAATTAAATGACACTAGCCATCATTCAACATGGAAACACAGCATCATCTTGTAAAGGAATGCACTTTCTGCAGGGGACTGCACTGGAGGGAAGGTGAGTACTGCAGAAAATGCTGCTTTTTTTTTTTTTTTTACCAAAATAGCAGAAGCTCTAAGAATATCCCTCAGGTTCTTCTTATTGATGTCTGTGGGTCATATCCTCTATTTGTCCTGGTGATTAGTGTCAGTGGGACAGGGAGTAATAATGAAGTAAAAAAGAATTAACAGATGCCGCTGTTAAAATTTGCAAAGGGGACTCCTGTTCCAGTGACAACTCCTCTCACTTTGGAGAGACTTCCAGTCCTGTCCGGTTTCTCCAGGACAGGAAGGAAAATCTCCCCCAATGGGACCGAGACAAAAAAAAAGCCTGACAAGAGTTTTAACTATGCCATTCTCTATCCAAAATGACATTAAACTTGTTTGGATATAGGTACACCAACGTAGTGAGAATTATTTGCCTTTTACCTGCCATCTTATTACATATAACATTCAATTTCATAAGTAGCACAGAGTTTCAAATGTCCAGAAAGTAACCAATACAGTTTCATTTAAACTATGTTCTTTTCTATAATGAAATGTGTGCTAAATTGAACAGACTCTGTGGTCTGACCATACCTCTATCATAATAGACTAAAAGATTTACATATTTCAAAATTACCTTGCTCTGGGGTAAGCATTAACTGTGCCTTAAATCCTGTTTCTGTAAGACCCTGCAAGAAACACATGGAACATAAGTAATTAAGGAACTTTATTCCTGTAAAAAGCTGTGTTGCTACTTCAGTTGGCCGTTTGGATGCCCTTACAAAACAACTGAGTGGACAACAACGGGAGTGCTTACGACAGGCAGTGACTTGGATGAGGAAGTGCTATTACTGGCAGGACCTCAAGGTGAAAAACTATTTGCTTAATAAAACTGTTTACAGTAATACATGCCTCCAACATTCTGAAAAACGTTTGTAAAAGGATCTTCACACCATTTAAGGCACTATGTAATAAAATGTTGTACATTTTTTATTTAAATTGTTTGGTATTGCCCACACTTATGAAAATGTTTGTTGATCATGCCTATATTTGCAGCAGTGTTACCATGAAGCAAAACAATTTCCTGTTTCTCCGATTTGCATTTCAGAAGTCTGTGGATTACATTTTCTGGATAACCGTCCTTGTCCCTGTGTACAGGTCTATTGACATTCCTCAGAATTTTCCAAATGATAGTAAAAAAGTTTGGGAATCCCTCATAATCTAGCCCATGGTGGTCACTGAGGTAGTAAGCATTTCATAAGTAAAAACACAAAGTGGCAATATCATGTACTTACAGCTAAATTGCAGGAGCATCCAAAAGTGTTCCCAGAGGCACTGTGATTAACTGAGCACTGAAATGGTTCTGACAGTTCTTTTGGCAAGGAAGGCTCATATACCGGCTTTTTCAGTAAATGGTTAAGGCTGCCATGGCTTCCATTGTTGGCTGCAGGCTCAATTCCTAACAAATCTAGATGATATAGCACAGATGTTAGACTAAGTGCATGACTGTACATAAAAATGCAGACCAGAATATTAAAAAAAAAAAACCTACCACACATCAAATTATATATTTCTATGTTTTCAAAGGGCTGAACTTCTGTGTTGTACTTGAACTTGGGACCATAAGCAATGAAGAGAGCCTGGGATAAAATTAGAATTATGAATTGTTATTATCACTATCTGCAAATTTCAACTGAAAAACTACACAGGCACAATAGATTAGCATAGCTGGAATTGCATTATCATTTTCCTTAGAAAAGTCTAGTTATGTGTCGGCGCTATTTTTTCTTTCTATCACAGCAGCCATTATCTAAAGATTTCAGTAGCACATGCATTTGTTTATGGCTGTTACTATGAAGTACAATTATTAAAAGATAGTGATTAAACATTAAAATGTTGATAACCTGTAAAACAATAGAGCCTCACACATATGGCAGATGTCCTGCAGCCTTGGCTTGTGCTGGTCTTTTTAAAAGAACAGGCGGTGTTTATGCTGTTCATCATTGTACCAACATTCTGTCATAGCCATCTTGGTTAACAGGCCAGAGAGACCTTGGAGAAATTGATGGCTTACCATCCAGTGATATATATAGTTGAATTCCATGCTATTAATTTATTTCCGATGTGAATGTGCACTGTAAAGCGCTACGTAAAAATGTTGGTGCTATGTAAATATCTGTAATAAATACTGTTGTTCCACAGCAGAGTTTGCGTCCAGCGCTGTTTTTTACCAATTCTATTAGGTCAGTCGCTCCACAAAATCACAGTATAAGATACAAAGAAGGCTCATGATACCAGTGAACTGTTATTATTGAGTAATAAGAAAAGTTTTAGAATAATATATTTAGTGATGGAGTGGACTCCAGATCCGCTCTAGCTCTTAACGCTGACATGTAATGAAAATTACCTTTCTAACAGGCCACAGTCCAAAAATGTAAAGCTGTATATTTAGATCAATGCTGAAAAAATGCCACACTTAACAAGGTAATTGGACAGAGGACAAATGTGACTACTTAAAATATTCCACAATTAGCAACTGTGTATTAAAACTTTCATAGCAGGTTTGTCACATACAATATATGCCTACTGGCAAATCACAGGCCATGTATGATTTATTTTCCCAAAACCAAAAAGAGATCAGGAAACTTTCACTGTTTTGAAAAACTGTTATATCACATTTTAATGTAAAGTTGGGTGAATGCCGTTCACAAAGCATTAGGGCCACTAGAAGGAGCCAAGTAGTAAAATCTCCTATGCTCCTCGGGTCTGTCGTGCAAATGGCATTTGCTCAGGTATAAAATGGGCAGAAGTTTTCTATATCAGCCCTTTAAAGTAGATCTGAAACCTAAATGAATAATATTCAATTTACTCTGTATAGTAAAAAGTGTCATGGTTGTGTTTTTTTTTTTAAATAAAACACTGTTTTTACATTTTGTCATGCTTCTTTACATCTCAGTGCTGCTAATCTCTTCCAGCAACACTTTGTCACTTCCTGTCTACATGCATTTGCTCCAGTGTTACCTGGATATCACTGCTCTATACTAGCTTCCTGATAGCAATGATGGACCATGTCTGTGCAATGTGCGTCAGCATGCATGGTTGTAGATTCCAGCAGGGGTTCATGTGACAGGGTGACAACACAGAGAAGAACAACTGGAAGACAGCTATCACCCCATAATAGTGACTGAAGAAGTGTCTGAACAAGGACCTCCATGATAGTATCACCAGGTATTCGTTTTTTTTTTCAAAAGATTAAATTAATTTTGAAGTTATAATAACGTATTAAAGCTCATATCAATATTAGTGACTGGGTTCTGATATACTTTAACTAAAATTACAAATAGGGTAGTAAACCACTGAACAATAGGCGAAAAAGTGGCACATCCATCTTCTACCATAATAAAGACCTCAGCTAATATATGGTTTAGAGAATGCCAGATGTGTCCTGGCTAAAAAATAAAAAGACACCGTCACCAGACCTTTTTAACAAAAATCTTCCCATATGATTTTATGTGCATTTAAAATATTTTATGCATGTTATTTACCTGTAAGAGCCTCTCATGTGTAGATTTTCAAATGCCCTGAAACTGCTGCTTGGTGCCGCCATCATGCAAACATAGGTAGTTCTAAAAAGAAGTTGGCCTTCTATGTTTAGATAAATTATCAGCTGGGTAGGGCATTTCAAGGTTATGGGGCCAAGAAGGGCAGTGTAATATAGTGTTCACTAAATGTGACCTCGTCCCTTGGTATCTGCTTCATAGTTTACCTGCATATTCTTGAAAAGATTATCAGAACCATGAAATCCTCCATGGCAGTATTTTGAGACTTCATTTTGTGACCTACAATTAAAAAAAAAAAAAAATGCTAGTTAAATATTTACAAGGCATTGCATTAATGAGTAAGCTCTTCCTGCGCTGCTTTAGTATCCATAGTAGAGAATGAAAACCACATTCACTGTAAGAATATTGTTCAATCGAGAAACATTTTCCAACATGCTCCTTTGAATTTCATCACTGCAGTCAAAGCTGATCATCAAATTGACCCCTGTAACTATTAGAAAGTCAAACAAATGTTCTGAAGTTGATTTTGTTCATTCGAAACAGTCAATGTCAAAGCAGAAATGTAGAAATTATAGATAAACAATGGGACAAATGGCTATTGCAGTAAGGCTGTCCGATTATAAGAATTAAAGTTTTCTTATTCAGCTTATTATTATTCAGCGTATTACACATTTCTATCCATAACTGCCTCGTTTTAACCTTTTCACTGCCAGAGCTGTTTTTGTATTTTATGCACACGTTAAAATGCACATTTTAGGCCTGAAAACTGCTTAAAGTCCCCCAAAATTAAATATTTTATGAAAGCACGGATCATGTAGAAAACAAATGGTGACATTTGCAATTTTCTATGTCACAAAATAGTATTGCAACTGTTGATCAAAGCCAAATTTTCAGTAAAAACAAATCCATTAAAATGTATTTTAGTGCATACAAACACAATATTATACCAAAGTTTTGGTAAAATATTAAAGATGAGGTTGCTCCAAGTAAATGCGTAACAGATATGTCAAGTCTGAAATTTGTGTGCGCCCGTGAAATGGCAAAAATCTTACCCAAAATTGTCCAAAGTCTTCACATCATCAATTTAGAGTTAACTGTGAATGATAGCCCAAGAATTATTGTTCTCACTCTGGAGTAAGTGGAACGTGAATGATAGCCCAAAAATTATTGTTCTCACTCTGGAGCAAGTGGCTTTACCTAACGTGTAGTGCAATCTTTGATTTCATACGTAGGCGCACCCAATTTATGTGTTAACATTCATATAGGCGTGCACATGGGGGCAAGGGGCTTTATAAAGATTTTTGCCTGTTTTTATTAACTTTAACTTTTTTTTTTTTACACTGAACCTTACTGCTATTACATAGGGGGCTTATAGCATCTGATCTCCCTCTGCTCTACCACCGACGTCCACCCTGGCCATCCCAGGCCACCAGAAAGGGCAGCAGAGCTTACAATAAATAGTCAGGCGGGGAGCACATGTTCCAGTGTCTGTGGAAGTGATGTAAAGCTGCACTAATCACTTCCAGTAGAAAGCCAACAGTAAGCTAAACAATAGTGTGTTTGAAGACCCGTGTTGCCACTGATGTATAACACACCTTGGTGGCAGTGAAAAGGTTAAAAACCAGTATCACACACACTGGTAGGCCGATTTACTAAAGGAGTTAAACATCTTCCTTTCAAAAAATTGTGTACTTATTCACATCAATTATGTAGAAAAGCATCTGCACCTGATTAGGTATTCAAAATGATGAAGAATTGGCATTTCACATGATTACATATATGAAGTACATACAGTATATTCACACATTATATTACATGAAGAATCAACTTCTTTAGTAAACCAGCCTCAATCTGTAATTAAAATTACTACATTTTAAAATCTCATTTTAAATTTAGGAATAAAAGCATCAAGTCTGGGAAATTAAACTAACCATAATTTTTTAAACATAGCTTTATCTCGTGTGTTCTTTGCATGCTGTGCTGCAAATTAGCATGACTGAATGGTAGAGGGACAGAAAACCTTTTTTAAGCATGTCAAAACCAGCCTTTGAGTAGGCTGATAATTCTAAGCAGCGCAGCGTCACAGCAGAATAATTATGGGCCTACTTATTATCTAAGCTAAAACTTAAATATGATCCCATCACTGAAACACATTTACAGCAATTACACAGGTACCGAAAATGTGGAATCATTTTTGTCTTAACTTCTTGCCAAATTTAATTGTTGCTATGTCAATTTTCATTATGCAGCCTTTTAAAAAGAGCATATGAATGAACAAGTTCTAGTTTATTAACAGGCCCAGGCTTCTCCTGTTATTGGACAAGTAAGCCAGCAAAAAAGGTGTTTCATTTTGGATTTTTCGTTACTTCCTTTTTCGGGTCCAAAAGTCAATTGGTTTAGGGGGGACCACAATGCCAAAAAAGAAAAGTGTGGAGTCCCCCTTACCAGACGCATTATTTGAGCAGCAGCCTGGCAGAGCTATTCAGTATGGACGTAAAGAAAACATCTACGAAGCCATGAGATTAGGTTCTCATCTTGTCCCCTGTTACTCCATTAGGGCACTGCCTGATAAAAAATGTGCATCCTACTTAATTATTAGCACAGCTGTATCCTAGATTTGTAGCAGCAATGAGGCTATTTTACCCATAGTTACAAATATCAACTTGCTATTCTTGCGCAGATGTCTTCTTTATTTAGAAAACCCTTTCCTAGCACTCTGTATTTATATCCTAATAGCTGCAATTTTCCCTTCTTAACCCCTTCGTGACGGTTGACGTACACTGTGAAAAATAAAGTGTAAAAAAAATGAAATTAAAATTATACAGTGAGGAAAATAATTATTTGATCCCCTGCAGATTTTGCAAGTTTGCCCACGTACATAGAAATGAAAAGGTCTATAATTTGTTATCATAGGTGTATTTTAAATGATAGAGACAGAATATCAACCAAAAATCCAGAAAAAAACACATGATACTAATGTTATAAATTGAGTTGCTGTCCGGTGAGTAAAATAAGTATTTGATCCCCTACCAACCAACAATAATTCTGGCCCACAGACTGGCTATGTGGTACACAAATTAGTCCTGTCAATTTAAGAAGGTGCTCCTAATGACAACTGGTTATGTATATACAAGACACCTGTCCACGGAATCTCTTTCTTCCATTCAAACCTCACCACCATGGGCAAGACCAAAGAGCTGCCAGAGGACATTAGGGACAAGATTATAGACCTGCACAAGGCTGGAGTGAGCTACAAGACTATCAGCAAGAACCTTAGTGAGAAGGAAACAACTGTTGGAGCGATTATTCACAAATGGAAGGAATACAAAATGACCATCAATCGTCCTCGGTCTGGAGCACCATGCAAGATTTCGCCTTATGGGGTAAGGATGATCATGAGAAAAGTGAGGGATCAGCCCAGAACTACATGGGAGGAGCCTGTGAATGACTTCAAGGCAGTTGGGACCACAGTCACCAAACAAACCATTGATAACACAATACACCACCATAGATTGAGATCGTGCAGCGCCCGCAAGGTCCCCCTCCTCAAGAAGGCACATGTACAGGCCCGTCTGAAGTTTGCCCATGAACAATTAAATGATTCAGAGAAGGATTGGGAGAAGGTGTGGTGGTCAGATGAGACCAAAATTGAGCTCTTTGGCATTAACTCGACTCACCGTGTTTGGAGAAAGAAAAATGCTGACTATGACCCTAAGAACACCATCCCTACAGTCAAGCACGGAGGTGGAAACATTATGCTGTGGGGCTGTTTCTCTGCTAAAGGTACAGGCCAACTTTGCCGCATTGAAGGGCCAATGGACGGGGCCATGTATTGTAAAATCTTAGATGAGAACCTCCTTCCCTCAGCCAGAACACTGAAGATGGGTCGTGGATGGGTCTTTCAGCATGACAATGACCCAAAACAAAGCAGTGGCTCAAGAAGAAGCCCATTAAGGTCATGGAGTGGCCTAGCCAGTCCCCAGACCTTAATCCTATAGAAAATGTATGGGGGGAGCGGAAACTTCGAGTGGCCAAGCGACAGCCAAGAAACCTTAAGGATTTAGAGAAGATATGTACAGAAGAGTGGACCAAAATCCCTCCTGAGATGTGTGCAAACCTGGTAACCAACTACAAGAAACATCTTACCTCTGTGCTTGCCAACAAGGGTTTCTACACCAAGTACTTAGTCATGTTTTGCTTGAGGATCAAATACTTATTTTACGCACTGAACCTCAACTCTAGTAATAACATTTGTATCATGTGTTTTTTTTGGATTTCTGGTTGATATACTGTCTCTATCATTTAAAATACACCTATGATAAAAATAATAGACCTTTCATTTCTTTGTAAGTGGGCAAACTGACAAAATATGCAGGGGATCAAATAATTATTTATTTCACTGTATATAAATAATTTTTTTATACTATAATAATTATTATAAAAAAAAATTTCTAAAAAATAATAATCAAAACTAGTGAAAAAAAAAGGGTTTTCTACGTTTTTTCCTAATTCTTTTTACATTTTATTCCAACTAAGTGAGGCGTTAGATACACGTTTGATATAATTATATAGCCCTATGTGTCCTCTGAAAAAAACACTATATAATATGTGTGGGTACATTTAGTAAGAAAGTATATTACTGACATGGAAGAATCACACAGCAAAAATGTAAAAAGTGTGTCAGTCATTTACGAACAGAAGCTGAAAAAAAGCTCAGTCATGAAGGGGTTAAAGTGACACTAAACTCAGGAGTTAAATCTTAAAAATGCATTCAAGTACCTTAACTATTAGGAAAAATGTATCTTATTTGTGTATCACTCAGCTGTAGATCCTCCAATCATCTCTGAATTGGTACTTACACTGTCCTTCCCTTCTGGAGGGTGTCTACTTTTGTTCCCTATGGTCCCTGTGTGTGTTGTAAAGTAGCCAACACTCGAAGCTCACTCTCTTGATAGGCTACAATCTCGATAAAAATTAGTAAACTAAACATGAAATTGTAGTCCATCACAGGAGCAAGCTTGGAGTGGTGGCTACTTTACAACACACCCAGCGACCATAGGGAACAAAAGTCGCCAACCTCCAGAAGGAAGGACAGTGTCAGCATTAAAGGAGAACTATGAGGCGAGTGCTTTTCACTCACCTCATAGTTCTAGCCGACCTGCGACAATGAAACTGTCACAGGTCGGCTCAGTAGATTGGGAGGTGAGCGAACACATATCGGCGTCCGCTCACCTCTCTATCCTGTCACGGCTCTCTGCCGTGACAGGGGAGGGGCTGGGTTCCCCCCTCCCGCTCCGATCCGCCAGTGCTGACTGGCAGAACGAACGGGGGCGGGTACAGCTGGCTCTGCTAGATAGGCAGAGCCAGCTGTCACTCACGCAGCTGGGCGGATCCCGGCACAATTGTCGGGATCCGCTTCAGCTGTGGTGTCTCAGTATACCAGGAGCAGCAGCTCGCGGTATACTGAGCCTAGGGTGACGGGAGGATGCTAGTTTGTGTCCTCCCGTTACCCTAAGGAGAACTATGGGGAAAAGCCTTAACCCCATAGTTCTCCTTTAATTCAGAGATATTTGAAGATCTACAGCCAAGTGATACACAAATAAGATACATTGTTGTTAATAGTTAAAGTACTTGAATGTATTTTTAGGATTTAACTCCTGAGTTTAGTGTCACTTTAAATTAGTGATTATTGCAACCAATTTTTACCACCACTGTTTGTTTTAGAGACTGTAATATACCTATTATTTATGTAGAAATAAAAATATGAACATATATTCTATCAAACTTACTTTGCAACTTGCCATTTGGGATCACAGTAAAAGTGAAGTGCTTCAATTCTGTCATTTTTAGCAAAATGTAAACGCTTAGGCAAGTCCTGCTTCAGAAATGGTTTGAAATGCTGATTCTTCTCTCTGCACTATGATATTGATAAATGGTGTTACTTTTTCTTGAAGTTACAATATACACATATATTACACGGATCAAAGGCAGTTTATGAATCATATAGTGATGTGAGTAAATTATGGTGCATGGCAACTCATATTCTAAAGGTCTTTAATGGGATTGCCAGTATAAATGCACCCTAGAGTGAACTAACCACCTTTAATGTATTCCTTCTAAGCAACAGTGGTATCTCCTTCTCACCACAGCCTAACGTGCTTGGCAGATTAGTCAGTTAAATATAAAACACTGAGGGGGTTATTCACAAAGCTGCCAAAGGCAGCCGAGTGAATAACCCAGCCGAAGTAAAGTGAGCCGAACGCTGTTCGGCTATTTACTTCAGCCTTATACGGCTGATTTCAGCCGCACATCAGCTAAAAATAGCCGTACATCAGCTGCCTTCCATCAGCCGAAGTGCCTATTCTCATAGGAGCCGAACGGCAGTGAGTGAATAGCGGAATGCCGTGCTTGGCTATTCTGCTTGGTACCTCCGAGGTGAACCAGCAGTAAAATTTTCCAACATTTCACCTTGGTTTGAACTTTTCTTTACCACCACAACTTCCCATATCATACAATGTAAAAGAGAACTATAGCTACACCCTTTTTTGCCTTTAGTCCCCTTTTGGGTCAAATGAATACGTTTACTAATGTACTCCTGATAGTCACCGCTCTCTGCATGGAGAACACCGTGAGCTGAGCGATCCATGATTTGTGAACACTCAGCTCTCAATCTATATAGCAGGCATGTGACAGTGGCAGTATCACACGCGTGCTCTAAGTATAGGGTGGAGTACATCCTATTCTCCCAATACTTGTCAACTAAGCTTGCAGGAAAAGCAGATTTTTGCCATGAAACTAGGCAACGTGCAGCAAAATGATAAAGTATGATTTTAGCAATCTTCAATAAACAGACCTCTCCAGTTTGACAGTACAGATGTAATTTTAAATACAGCAGATAAATTCATTGGTTTGGCCATTGCAGTGTCCCTTATAGGAAACTAGCAACTCAAGAGCCATGATTGTTGTTGCACAGAACCCATAAGAGTAATCTATTTTCTGGGAAAACAGTTAATCTAAAAATCAATGGCTTAGATGGAACATACACACTTCATCATTTTCAAGGTAGTACGTGGGAATATTGTTAAAGAAACCCATAAAAATTCTTAAACCATATGTTGTTTTAATCGGTATACAAAAATAAATAAGACAAAAATGTTAGCTCTGAAAATGTAACATGCATATTATAATTTCATGTACTACAAAAACAACTTACTGTAAGATTCTTGGAGAAATCTGCATAGTCAACTGGAAAAGCCATACCAGACAATTACATACCTGAATTGGTGATACAAAGTCAAATACATGGTACAAAATGTTATACTTAGCAATACAGTAAATAATATATTAAAGTGTATGTATAAGCAAAACTTTTTATTTAGTTTTGGATAGAGTAAGGAAGTGTAAAGTTCACCGCACAGGTTACATTATACCATCTCCTTTAGATCTACCAATATATAGTGCAAGGCCCAGCCTGATTTAAGTAGGTCTTCATATTACAAAGTTTTGGAAGATCTAAAGTTGACACAGAGATTGTATGGTCAGATGTTAACATGTATGTGAAGCCTTAGACCCTCTGTGAAGTTTGTATTGCTGTTTGTGTCCTCATTGGGGAGTTCATCGGTTCTATTTTAATCTGATGATCAATGTAAGGGAAAATCTAAAGTGTCATAGTTGTCACCAGAGCAAGAAAAATTTAAACCCGAGGAATTCCCCTTCCTTTGGGAGATTTCCTCTAACTTCCAATTACACCTTTAAGATAGGAAGGAAGTGAAAGGAAATCTCTGAAAGGAAACACAGACATTAAGAAATAAACAGGACAGGAGATTTAACCCATCCCTACTCTATCCAACACTAAAAAAAGTTTTGCTAAACAAACACTTTATTATTTGCTTGAAATAAAGCCAAGACAATATATAAATGTAACATTCAGTTAAATATGAGACACCTATAGCTTTTCTTTTACAGGTTAGATAACTGCCAATGCCAGATATTGACAATGAAGTAGAGCGAGCCAGTTGCAAACCATTACACCACTATAAGCTAAAACCCATTGTCTCCTGCTGTTAAAATGAATGACGGTGTGTAAAACATTTAGAGGATTATTCACTTAGTGAATAACCGAGTGAATAACCGAGCCGAAGTGAAGTGAGCCGAACGCTGTTCGGCTATTTACTTCAGCCTTGTACGGCTGATTTTCACTTGGGCCGGTGAGTTTGCCCAAGAAACTTTCTGCAAATGAGTAGATCTTAGATGCATCGATTACTTGTGTTCCTGTAACAACCCAAAGTCAAGTCAGAAGACATCAGTATTGAATAAAATGAAGGAGCGCCAGCCAAGGCATTGGCCTATACACATACAGCACAGCAATGAAGTAATAAAATGAACTAGGATCACACTAATCCAGCACGTTATTACTCTGAGTTGCCCCACTCAAGCGGCGGCCATATTGAGTGGGGCACGTGAGATAATTAACTTGCTGGATTACTGTGATCCTAGTTCATTTTATTACTTTTATTGCTGTGCTGTATGTGCATAGGCCAATGTAGTTGGATCTGTATGTGCGTTATAATTAATCGAAATTAATCGATTAATCGATTTTAAAAAATTCGATTAATCGAACACGAAAATTTTAATCAGTACCAGCCCTATAAAAAAGGTTAAAAAATTGTTTTCTGTATCTTTTGAGCAGGATCAGCTACATTATGGTGACAAAACAATTGAGAACCTGCTTAAAACATAATTACACAGTTGATTCCATAATCGTGAGTAACGTGTACAGACTTTCCAGTGTATTGATTATACGCAAAATGTGACTGGCACAAAGGACACAATAAAAGCGATATGAAATACAGCTTTCATTGTTTCCAATTCACAACCCAGCTGGATGACTAACACAATTATTTGCTTAAAACAAATAATTATATCATTCAGTAGAACAAATTAAAATAAGCCTTGTTAACAGCAGATAGTATGATAAGTACATACAAGAGAAATACTCATCTGGTACTCGAGTGGGTCTTAGACGTGCTGATGGCCCATATATCACTACATAATCTTCAGAGGTATTCATGTATGATGTCAGATATGCTATATTTTCACAGCGTGATTCCTCCATGCCTAAAATCGATTCCACCAAACATATTTATTCAAAACATGAAGTAACACAGCAAAGAATGACTTTTAAACATAAGCACTAATATAGACAACTGCTTCATAAATTCTACTCAGCATTTATAAAGCCATTAGCCAGCCCAGAACAGTAATTTTGAAGGCACATTGGGCCATTGACCTTATTTCATAAACTTGAAGCTAGAAGAGGTTAGTGCACTACAATAACCATGGTAGAAACGCCAATTTGCTCATTTGATAAAAAATTGTTTCAAATAAAGTAGAAACATAGTTTAACCACTTGCTGACGGGGTGATAAACCCCCTTCCTTTCCAGGCCATTTTTCAATATTCAAGCCTTATTATAATATAAGCCTTAATATAATTTTAAGCCAGTCAAGAAATGTCACAAATAAGGAGTTATCTTGGCTATGCCCCTTAGTTTCCACAAACTGCAATTATCTGGTGCTAATTATAGTAGCTGCATATGAATTGAAGGAAAGTAGGGGTTCTGAAGTGTGAGAGGAGCTAGAAGTGTCAGGGAGAGAAAAGGTACAGAACCAGCAACAACAAAAAACAAGTGTAGGAAATCATCAACGACATGTTGAAATAAAGCAACAGAAAGCCCAACAGAAAAGGTCACCGCTGAGATCTGAGCACCAGCAAATAGCCTGATGCCTAACTGTGTCCCAGAAAGCTGGCTACACCGCACACAACTGCCAACTACCTGACTGGACAGATAGTAGGCCTACATTTTTTTTAGCAAGGCTTAGCAACTGATTTTTTTTTTTGTCTGACTTATTTCAAATATTTTTGTCTTCTTGCAGTTTGAGTAAATAAGACATGGGTAATATAGACAAGTACATTCATTTGAAAAAAAGCCACCAAACAATCTTACCATGGTCTGAAAGAAGCAGAAGATTTACACATTTGTCCAGCTGCATTTGTTTAAGTCCATCCATCAACATTCCAACTATACGGTCTACAGTCATGAGAGCTTTTATTACCTGTGGAAACATCTGCATTGTTATCATAAACTACATCAAATTACCATAGGTGTATGCTTACTATTTGTCCTGACCGAATTGTCCCATATACCAAAAAATTGCCTTTTACAAAAAGAAAAGTTCCAGCATTTTACATTGAAGTCTGATCAAAATGTTGCAAAACATTTTCTTATGGTGTTCTTGCAATAGTGTCTGGGGGTTATTATTGCTAACACTGCCACCAATAAAGATTGTTATCATCACTGACAACAATGAATGTGGGTTTTTTTTTATCACTGACACTGACCACAATGAATGGGGGGTTATATTGCGGACACTGACCACAATGAATGGGGGGTTATATTGCGGACACTGACCACAATGAATGGGGGGTTATATTGCGGACATCTGACACAGAGACCAATGAAGGGGGCTATTATTACTCACACAGAGACCAATGAAAGGAATGTATTTTTACTGACACCATCACTATTGAAGGAGAGTTATTAACATTGTCAAGAAGAGGGCTAGTTTTTGCTGACACTTAGATAGGGATTGTTATTTTTTTACACTGAAACCAATGAAGGTGGTGTCATTATTATTGGCACTGAGATCAATGGGGGGGTTGTTATTACTGGCACTGAGACCAGTGAAGGTGGGCTATTATTACTCACAGTGCGACCAATGAAGGTGGGATCATTATTACTGACAATGAGACCATTAAAGAGGGTTTGTTATTACTCACAGTAAGCCCAATGCTGGTGGGCTGTTATTTTTGACACTGACAAACAATAAGGGGCTATGGGGGGTAATCATGACTGACACAGAGACCAATGAAAGGGGGTTATTAATGACAATATCACCACTGAAGGACAGTTATTATTACAGACACTGAGACCAATAAAGGGGCTTATTATGTACAGTAAGACCAATGAAGGTGGGGTCTTTATTACTGACAAGCACAAGGAGGTGGGAAAGGGTATTGTCAAGGCTGATGTTTAAAAGAAATACCATAGATCTGAATTTGATAGTTTTGACATGCATAAAGTCAACTTTTTGACTTAATTATGCATGCTGCACTATGATTTTTTTCATCATATACTAGTCAGAATTACCCAGGTCTAGACAGGTTTACTTTAACAAACTTATTAACACTTCAGTTATAATTAGTATTCCCTATTCAGATTTAAACCATGACAAAATATTAAAGTAAGCAGAGTAAATGACAATAATGAAGTGTTTTACTTACTGCACTGCTCACTGGACCGTATTTGTGTCCTGACGAGTCTGGTTCTTCTAAATACAGAGTGTAAAAGTGTGGTCTAAATCAAACAGTGCCAAGAATGACACACACTTGTCAATTAATCTGCATTATAAAGCAATATCCAGCTAAAATCAAGGATCAGTTTGAATAAATGTGTGAGTAAATGTTTCCAAGCCATTAATACATCAGCTATACTTTTAACTAGAGCTCTAGACAAAATGTATTTTAAAAATGTGAGTTAGAGCGGGGAAGGTTTCGAACAATTACCAGGTTTTCATTGCTATCTACAGTATGTCTCCAACTATGTAGATATCCCCTCACTTTCTTGACAGGAAGAAAGAAGAAATGATTCCAGCAAGGACACCGAGAGCAATAAAAAGCTAACAAGGGATCTAACCTGTTCCCACTCTCATTCATAACTGAAATAAAACACTTGACTCGTGTTCCACTAAAACTCATAAGAAAAAGAGCAATGTATTGCTGTATAAATTACTTTCTAAAATCACAGGGCTGGAGGCATGTCTCACTGCTCTACCTTCAGTGATGCTCCCTACTGCCTCTCATGCAATCCTTGTGCACTACCCAAATAAACGTGCCTGTAAGTTGCTTGTCAGCATCTTAGGGTGCCCCGGCTGATCCCATCTTGGTAAAACTACTAAAGCTTTATCCAGAGAGGTACCAATTACATGGAAGGTAAGTATGGTCTAATCCTGTTGTGGATACACAGGACCAACACTCTTCAGCTACACAGGGAACTATTAGGGAGATGTAGTAGGGCAGGGTATAGTTCTTTACATTGTGTGCCATTAGTTATGGTGAACCATCTCCACCATCCAATTTGTAGCTCAGGGACTTTCAGTTTCATATTGCCTGCCAGTAACTTTGTGGAAGAGTCTCCAGATTCCAATGTTTGGGGTATGGGATTGGGAGTCTACCTTATCTTCTCAGCTGGCCAGCCTCTGGTGAATTTGTCATCAGTGGGTTGGACCCGACTTTGACAAGACAGCTGAACACTGTTTCAGAAGGCTCTCTTATGAGTCCTCCCTTCTGGGAAGAGAAACAGTTGAGAAGGATGTGTCTGTGTGGTTTCACATTGCCTGCCAGTAATTACGTGGAAGAAGCTTCAGATTCCTGTGTTTGGGGTGTGGGGTTGGGAGTCCAGCTTTTGTTCTCAGTTGGGAAATATAGGGGGGAAAAAGGCGAAAATAAAGAATACAAATGCAGCCACCACATTTAAGAATTGGTAAGCTGCAATATATAATATGTTTGCTTTTAGGTTTAGATAGGCTTTAATATTTTGACATGAAAATGTACTGGGTAGAGGTTTAATCCACTTAGGTGCAACAATCATGACTTATCCTAACATTATTTTCAGTAATGAGAGCAGAAAAGAGAATCACATGGCTGAAAATAATGTTTGAATTAGCAGATGAATTGAGCTTTATACTTTTTGCCATTTCACGGATGAAAGACACTCAAATATTGATATCTAGTACTTTGCTTTGGCATATTTTCTTTTATGCGATTTGCCATATTGCTCCAAAATGGAATTTATGCTTCAGCTGTCCTTATTCCTGGACAGTTTGTGTGCAAATGAGAATATATAAATAAAAGCATTAAATAAAATAAATAATGAATACTAATACTAACCACATTACAATTCAACATTTTCCACAATAGTGGCCCTTCAACAAAGACCTTCTTTTACAGAGGATGCTATATTCATTTTTGCCAAAATACATTTTATTACAAGTGGGATATGTGAAATAAATAATGAGCCACACATGCTCTCTTTCTAGATTTAAACATGCATTTGGCTCCTGCTTGTTACTTTAGAAAGTTGGCTGTTGTAATTTTTTCTGACTTTGAATGAAGTATTCAAGAACATGGCCATACCCAAAGTATTACCACCGCTCCATGCTCACTCCTGTAAAAGACTACAATCTCATGTTAAATTTACTAATTTGTATTGAGATTGTAGTCCATCGTGGGAGTGAGCTTCGAGCGGTGTCTACTTTACAACACACACAGAGACCCTGGGGAACAAAAGTAGCCACCCTTCAGAAGGAAGGACAGTGTCAGTATGAATTCAGAGATGATTTGAGGATCTACAGCCGAGCGATACACAAATAAGATACATTTTTGTTAATAGTTAAGGAACTTGAATTTTTAAGGTTTAACTCAGTTTAGGGTCAGTAAATGATTTCAGGTTACAGATTTACACTGTTGCGGAGTGTTACTGCACACAGTTTAACATCTGTTACTGTATGTCACACATTATTGTGCACTGTCGTACGACACCCCATTCATTTGTAATGGGCAGTCAATGCAAGGCAACAAAGTTTTAAGGGAATTGCACCTTTTTTTCAATGCAACGCAGAACAATGCACAAGACAGCTTAAGAATTAATGCCTTACCATGCATTGCAGTAACATACAGTAAAACACATTTTACCATGAATCAACTACAAAGCAAAGATGTAAAACTGGCTTAGGGTTGCCTGGCCAGCGTTTTATCGGTGCTTCATTGTTTCAAGAGTATACTATACAACGCCTAAAATAGTCCTAAGTTCTAAACTCTGTTATCTTTAGAATAAGTCTTAAATATTAAACTTTAATACAGACTCTAATAACAATACATAGTACATTTCAGACATATTTTAGGTATTTGTTTAAAGTCCTGTAATCATTATCATGTATTACCTTACCTCATATTTTCAGGTAGACTTAGCCATTTAAGGACTGATATGACTCGGTTTTCAAAAGGAACTGATCTGGGGGTAAAAAAAAATAAAAAATTGCACATTATTTAATAAAGGCTACAAAGAGTAAATCATTAGGTGTAGTGACCCTGAGAAACCAATCAGAATTACACAGTTTAAGTGCATTTACTTCAAGTACAGAAAAATACCAGTTGATCCGGATTAGAAATCCAGTATTTGTGTAACTTCCTTTACACTAAAGAAAAGGAGGAAAGGGGAGGTGTTCTGTGGTCCAAATCAGGAGAGCAGCCTAGGGTGACAATGCTGTTCCTCCATATATGCATTCCAGTGGGTGAGTATATTTTTAATTTTGGGTTTAGATAGGCTTTAAGGTAAATAACGTCAGATCAGTATATAATGGATTCTAGTAGGTTGTTCTGGGTATTGCTCCCTGCAGCTTGCACTGAAAAATCAGTAAATCCAAAAATTGGCACACTAGTGAAATAGCTATTATTATAATGTTTCTTTAACACAATAGCAACCTAGCTATAAGTTATCAAAAAGAAAAGATTACACGATTTTAAAATCCAAGCCACATAGTGCATATATATATATAAGTTTAAGATAAGACAGAAGCTTGGTGCTTCTTGGGCAAACTCACCGGCCCAAGTGGCTCCGTTGACCAACTAAGGGAATGGGGAGGAGTCAGGTGACATCAACATCACCGGACTCCTCCCCCTTCCCTTCATTAGCCGACGGAGCCACTTGGGGAAGGGGGGAGGAGTCCGGTGACGTCGATGTCCGTGACATCACCGGATCTTCGACGGGACTCCCGAAAGCCGGCGGACAGGTGAGTCTTTTCATTTTCGATCAAAAATATTTTAATCGATCAAAAAGTTTAATTAATCGAGGAATTAATCGTTAATTTTGCCTGCCCTAATTTATAGAGTCGTATTTCCACGTATCTCCAAGACTGAGCCCATAAGGGTGAAATGTGTCAGAGGTGGGAGGTTTGGAGGCAGGGACAACAGTGTGTATGTTGGCATTCAATAAAGTGATGGCATGCATTGTGCAGTGTATTTACTTTGGTGTACTGAGGCGCAGGAGCTTGGACAGGCTCACGGCCTGCACCTGCTATACTTCTGTACACAGGAGCCTCTGTAAAAATTAGAGATAGAGCTCCTCTTTCTATTGGCTGCGATAAATGATTTTTTTTTCCCTTGTTGCCCAAAGATTACAAAACCCTAGTGCAAGATATGCTAATAAAGTGTAAAAGTGATAAATAACTATTACTACAGCAGCTGTATCAATACCAAATGGTAAAGAAAAATGTATGAACAATAACATATCACGCTATAACACATACATAACAATCTAAAGTGCAAAGGGACAAATGATTTCCAACCTATGTGCAAATTATACTATTTAAAGTTCCCTTTTTTATTTTTAAAGGCAAAATTGCAACCTCTTAAGAAAAACAGCAGAGATAAAAACAAATCTTAAAAATCACTCTACCAATAACTACCAATCCTTGGCCTGAATATCCACCATGAGGTAAGCATTTTCATAGCTTTATTCTATGAAAAACAGAAAGCTTTGTATTTCTATAAAAGAGTTCAGAAGGCAAATGGGGGAACCTGGATTTTGCTTTTTTCATTTGTTTTTTGGATTATTGCATGACCAAAACTGTGAAAGCACTATATTTTCCACTAGGGTCCAAATGTATATGCATGTTTGCTTATAATAATCAAAATATAATACCAACATAATTGGCATTTGTTTCTCAGCTGCAACAGTTGAGGACAAAAAAATGTGCTTTGTAACAAGTACATTGTCAAAAAAAATGTGGGATACTTGATTTTCACTGTTCCAGGTTGTTGTACCATAAAGAAAACAGCAAATTATCTCTAGATGTATTTACTCTGTGCCTATAACTCACTGTTTATCTCCTAAACTTTGACCCTTACACAGACAATTTGTTTAGTCCAACCTGTGACAGTAGTACCACAAAACCCAGTGTCTTAATGCATTGTTACTGACTGACAGATGAAGATACTAAAGAGCATTAAAAGGAACACAGAAAACAGTGACCATCCCACTGAATGTGGGTAAGGGCATTCTTGTTGGTAAAGGAATTAAAATGGTGCATATGTTTGGGTTATGGAATGCCTGATTTAGGTATATGTACTGTACTAGAACTAAGTGCAGCGTTCTATTTCTATTTCAATACAAGGACATATGTAGATCCATATTTCAGCTTTTGAGCACTCGCAAAACTCGGTAACTTCATAGCAAATCATAAGATAACAGGGAGCAGCAGGGGGATGAGCTGTGTCAGACAACATTTCAGTAAACACACATCCCAGGAAATGAATACTACTGTACAAATGCTAGCATTTCCCCATCTATATCATCTATGGCCCATCTTTATAGTCCAGAAAGCAGGTGCTGACTTTAGACCAGGGGTAGGCAAACTGTGGCCCTTTAGCTGTAGTGCAACTACACATCCCATTAGGCATTGCAAGGCTGACAGCCACAGGCATGACTCACAGATGCATGATGGAATTTGTAGTTTCACCACAGCTGGACGACTGGAGTTCGCCTACGCCTGCTTTAGATGATACTTGAACAAAAATGCCACCAGCTTTTTGAAGAAAAATGAAAGCATTGTCATGGTGAGTATTACGATCTCTAGGTGAAAAAACCATTCAATATCCTTACACATCACTTACTGTAGCATTCATACACATATACATAAACATTTATCCAAGCCTCCGTGCACTTTAAGTTGTGGTATCTTTTTTTAACTATGGTATGACTTATGTGCACTTTGTAAGAGTGAGCTAATAGTGAACACTGTACTGAAGGTGGAATACACGATTCAATAATATGTGCTATAGCTATTACTATAATGAATTACCCATTGTATTCCTTGTAAAAGTTTGGATAAGTTCCATTGATCTTCACATCTGATCCTGGCCAAAAGTATGTTGCCGTCTTTAGCTCTTGATTCATAGCAGTTATCCATACCTATGAAAAGAAGGATTAAGTTAGATATTGCAATATAACCAAACTTTCATTTCCATGCTGCACAGGAAAATCCTAGGAAACCAAAACTTAAATGCTGTGAAATTCTATTGGCATTAATGTTGATGGATTCTACATGTCTCATATAGAATACAGAGGAATCACTATAATACGCATGCACTGTGGGATTGCATGAGAACAAGGATGTACATTTGCAAATGGAACATAATCCCTTAATCTATCTAAGCATATACTTGTGTTCATTGTATATCATGTGGTACCAATAGGAATACAGATGGCAATTAAAACCCGACATAAGGCCCACTCTATCTAAAAAAAAAACAACAACTCAGCAAAAGTTGCATTTAAAAGGGACACTAAACTCAGGCATTAACCCTTTCGCTGCCATGACCTTTTTTTTGCGTTTTTTTGCACATGTTATAATCCACATTTTAGGCCTGAAAATTACTTAAAACCCCCAAACATTATATAACATATTTTCTGAAAGCAAAGACCTTGTAGAATAAAAAGGTGGAAGTTGCAAATTTTTATGTCTCCCGATATTTGCGCAACTCTTTATCTAACCCAAAAACTGTTAGTGCGTCCATGAAAAGGTGACAAAATACGGCACCCCAAATTGTCCATGGGTCACGCTTTAAAAGCCTGTACAGGTAATCGGTTTAGAGATATCTGTGAGTATTGGCCCTAGAATTATTGCTCTGACTCTGGGGCACGCGGGGCTCCAAGCTCCCGTGATGGACTACAATCTCACGTTTGGTTTACTAATTTGTATTGAGATTGTAGTCCATCACAGGAGTAAGCTTGGAGTGGTGGCAACACACACAGGAAGCATCGGGAACAAAAATAGACAACTTTAATATGTAAATAATGTGCATAGGTGTTTTTTTCCAACAGATTCTTAAGCCCATGATTTCTTTTACACTATATTCCAGTTTATTAAAAATGAAAAAATAAATTGAGAACAAAAGTAAAGCCAATAGCAGCTCATTAGGTTTGATTTGCCTTTCATTTCATTAAAAAAAGTAAACAAGAATTCAGATGTTTTACTATGGGGAACTACTTAACTCAATTTTATCATATAAGCCCCTATAATGTCACTTCACTGAGCCTAAAAACACAAAAGGGCCTGTTCCCAACATAGTGTTGCACTAAATCGACATTGATTTGTTGAGCGCACGCTATCGCACAGCGTGCTGCACCGCATGCTTGGCGTGCTGGTGCGTTGTGTTGCCATTCATTTAAATGGCAGCCCGAAAAACCTGCCAGCGGGCGGGTGTGTGTCGCAGCACGGTGAAGCATATGGTAGTGTAATACCAGGTGTTGTGGTGAAAAATAGTAGTGCATGCATTGCATACCGTACCATAAATGGGAATGCATCAGCGAACTTAATGTGTGGTGTAGTGTGCTGTGTGATAGTATGCGTTAAACACACAGATCCAGTGCTGTTAGTGCAGGCCTTAAATGGTTACTGAAGTGAAGCAATACGGGGCTTAATGTTGGACACTTAATAAGGCTGAGACAATATGGTAGACCATATGAAAAAAAAGGGTTAGATGATCTGAATTGTACTATAAAGTGATTTTTAAGCATGCAGGAAAAATATTATTTAAAAAGGATTGCAAGAGGAGTTTTTCTATAAACACAATGAAATGTAATTCTAACCCTTATCATTATATTAAAAGTGATGTTGAAGTAAAGTTTTGGATAGAGTAGGAAGTGTTTAAAACCCCTTTCTGGTTTTTTTTTACATTTTGTTTCATAGGGAAGGTTTTCTTTTACTTCCTCTCTCAAAGACACAACCAAAAAATGAGAGGAAATCTCTTGAAAGTGAGAAAAAAAATTTCTTCCTAGACTGTTGTCACTTAAAAATGTGTTCACATTAAAAAAAATGTTCATCTATTCCTTTTCTGATGACAAGTGTAAACTTTGGATTCCCATCACTTTCTGTCCAGTGGACAATCTTTACCAGGATTTACAGAGAAGGGAATCTGCGCTGTAAATACACAACAACAAAACCTAACAGAGGTTTTAAAATGTTCACACTCTGTCCAAAACTATACAAAGTTTGGGGTTTAAATACACTTTAAAAATGCTCAAAATGACTAAATTTTAGTACACATACAGGTTCTCCTTGGTACCATGAAGACTTAAACTTCTCAGAACTTCTTAGTGTGAAAAAAGCATTTCTGTATGGGTCATACATTTTATTGTCCACAACACCATGCGACTCTGGGTAGAGGCCCTGCAATCAGAAGAACATAATAATAGAAATGTTATCCTTGCGGCACTGCTGGAAACTTTAAACTTTGTTTATGTGAATGAAAATAGACTTGAAGCTAAGTAGCTGTACTAAATGTTATCATATCTAAAGCCCAGCAAAGGCAGATATTTCTACTCACATTCAGATAAAAGGTTTAGGGGAATTCTGCATTGCCTATTTTCTGCCTTCCAAGCTTGGTTACTATCATCTCTGACTTGTATTACTTTTTACACAAATCTTTCTATAGAAATGTTTTATCACATTGTCACAATAGGCTTTGTTTATCAAAGTGACTAAAAAATGTCTGTCTATGTTATCTAATGATAGCATGTACGCCTGGCTTGGTCATGGAAAGGAAAAAGGCAGGCAGAAAAGATATGTGTTCACTGCATATGCTGTTAATTATTTGCCTGCTTTTGTTAGTTTGGTATAATTGTTTAACAGACGGCTGCAGGTGTTACGCAGCAGCCCACTTTTCATTTATCACTTACATGTTGGGTATGTTTCATACTGAAAACTTTAAAAAATTATACACTGTAATGATTGTTACATATATATATTGTTGCATATATAACTAATATATTGTTACATATAGAACTAATGGATCACTTTGATTGCTGAATTTGTGTTACTGAAATATACTACAAATCCATAGTATCTTTTTATAATAAAAAAATAAGATTTTTGTACTTACCGTAAAACCTTTTTCTTGAGTCCATTGAGGGACACAGGAATGTAGAATAGACTATGATGTGGGTTACACTGCCACCTACTGGCAAAACAAAAAAGCCAGCCTCTGTCTAACCTCACCTCTAACTGTTATGCCTCAGTTTTGTGGGAAAGTAGTGCATAAGGCTAAAAACACAGAGGGGCGGAACCTGTGTCACTCAAGTATTTTACAGTAAGTATAAAAATCAGATTTTCTGTATGGTCTATTGAGACACACAGGATTGTAGAGTTGTCTATGACGTGTGACATTCAAAAGATGTCCAACTGAGGGGTGGGCTTCACCACTAGGAAAATCAGCAGATGTGGAATTTTACTAGCACAAAATCACTGAATGTGGGGTTGAATGTGGGGTTGAGGAATAATAATTTACAAAATATGGAGAACAACATTGTCAAGGGGAAATGTGCAAAATCCCTCCAGTTTTCCAGATCAGGAATAACATACTCCAAGAGGAAATCAGTAGCTGAAGGCACAATAAGCTTCTACCAACAATATGTAGGACAACCAATCAGCTCACTTGAGGGAAATTTACGTAAAACAATACTAACTAAACAAAAAAAACAAAAAAATTAGACCAGCAGTTCCGTTAGACAATAGAAAGAAAATTATTGGTTTGCGCCTAAGCCTAGTATACCAAACCATTGGCTTCAGGAAAAAGAAGCTAGGACAGAAGAGATATGTCCATGATAATACAAACCAACTAGAAAACAGTCAGAAACTTAGATAAGGCATCTTTAATCCTTAACATTAGCACAAGGGATGTCTATAATATAAGCAATGTTCCCCGACAGGAAATGATCACTAAAAGAGACCAGTATGGAAATAAGGCTTTCCAAACAGAAAATTAAAATGGAAAGAGTAAGAATAGAATAAGGATGGCAACCACAAACCTTAAAAAAGTTGAGAGTGGGGCGATAAACAAGACCTGTAGTAGGCAGGGGTGAAGATAGATTGTAATGCCAATTGGCACACAACAATAGAAAATGATGAGAAGGAATCCATGCTATTAATATTCAAATAGTTTGAGAAATGTGGTAGCTATATTAAAAGGAGAACTATGAGGTGAGTGATTTCCACTCATCCTCATAGTTAGAGCCGACCTGTGACAAAGAAGCTGTCACAGGTCGGCTCTATTGATCAGGAAGTGAGCAGAAACATGCCGCCGATCCGCTCACTTCCTGATCGTCTCCCTGCAGTGAGCGGTGACGGGCAGTCACCACTCCCCGCAAGGATTCCCCCCTCCCCTCTTCGAATCCTCCAGCGCCGAGTGGAGGAGTGAACAGGTGAGGGGGAGGGGAAAGTTCAGGAGTTTTTCCAAATCAGCTATTTTGTCATAGATTGTTCATGTCTCCTGCCTTCTACAAATCCTTCAGTTAATAACCCTGTTTGTGATTTATAGAATACCAGGGACAAATGTATAAAATGGTGTGATATTATCAATTCAAATCACTTACTGTTACAATGCTGTAGTGGTTAGGAAAGGTTTTCGATGGATACACTGGTCTTAAGGCACGTGCATATGTCCCACATTTTTCTGAAAATATATTTAAAGCAGATTATAATATATATAGGTACAGATTGATAACCCTTCACTGTAGAACTTGAATAGACAGATCTATTCACTTTATATATTATTTGTCTCAATGGCCATGCTGTGGCTTTTACACAGCTATACACTTTACAATTTAAATCCATTTTAGGTGTACCAAAACTAAGTAGTGCAAAGTCCACTTAGACAACCCATTCAGTTTGTAAACACTCAGACAGGGTCTTTCACTACATAGGTGTTCATAGATCTAAAGGAGATTGTACAATCAGATGCATGATCAGCTTTCAGCTCACTGCAGCTACAGTAAAGAGCTACTGGATGCAAATAATTGCCTTAATGGTACCAGGGCAAATGGTCCTCCTTACTATTCATAAAAACAATCATCTTATAATATTCAAGTCTATTCTAACATGTTATTTCAAAATGTACTATTTAAAATAAGCAGCAAGAAAAGCAAATCATTGAAAGAGATTTCCGTCCAAAACTCAGAAGCAGTTTGTGACAGAAAAGTTACACTAAGGAGAAGTGACACTAAACTCAGGTGTTAAACCTTAAAAATGCATTCAGGTACCTTCACTATTAGCTTATTTGTGTATCACTGAGCTATAGATCCTCAAATCATCTCGGAATTCATGCTGACACTGTCCTTCCTTCTGGAGGGTGACTACTTTTGTTCCCCATGGTCCTTGTGTGTTATAAAGTAGACACCGCTCCAAGCTCACTCCCATGATGGACTACAATCTCAATACAAATTAGTAAACTATTTTAGTCCATCATGGGAGTGAGCTTGGAGATGTGGCTACTTTACAACACACACAGGGACCATAGTGAACAAAAGTAGCCACCCTCCAGAAGGAGGTACAGTGTCAGCATGAATTCAGAGATGATTTGAGGATCTATAGCCAAAAGTGTACTGGAATGCATTTTTAAGATTTAAAGTGACATTAAAAGGCAGATTTCCCCCCCAACCCCCAATCTGCTGTAAGGACTTACCTTATGTGATGCCTCTTGATCCAAACAGCTTCTTCCTTCCACTCGTTTTCCACAGTCCCTCCAGCACTAGTGCCGGTCTCTGAGTCCACCAGAGTCTGTCCAGCGTGTGCACTTCCGCCTGCGTCCATTGAGTTTCAGTGTCGCTCTACTCCTCTCCCCGCCGGTGATCTGGACTGCGAATGCGTCCAGCAACACTTCCTCACAGCTTCACAGCATTCGAGAGCCGGGAGCGAGCGGCGCTGACACAGGTAAGTTAGTTGGCAACTTATTTGCCAACTTTGTTTTCTTTTTTTTTTAAAGTTGGGGCATATACAGTATCTACTGCTTACTAGCAGTAGATATATGCCAAAAAAGGCTTTAGTACTACTTTAACTCCTGAGTTTAGTGTCACTTTAAGTATAAATGTCCGGCATTTCACAGCTTCCCCCCCCCATGGCCCATCTCATCTCAAGAGAACTAATGTGAGATATACACCAAAACATTTAGCTGATCATTTGTCTCTGAGCAGGAGAAGCTGTTTACGATAAAGGGTGGTGTAATTAGTTTTTAGAGACTCATCTGCCTAAATATAATGTCACTCCTATTTTAAATGGATGAGCCAGTGTAGACAAGAATATTTCAGTAAGATTATATGTACAAGAAAGATCCTGAATATGCATGCTTTTACTTCCTAAGCAGTAACATGCATATTCAGGAGAATCCAGATTGAACAGCTGTTGATGTTACAATTTATATTATAACAAATGCGACCTCAAAAGCGCAATGGTCGGGTCTTTTCTGCCCGTGCGTGCCCACTAGGGGGTGCGCGCGAGCAGAAAAAAAATGCCGTCTGGAGACGGCAACCCGCCAATGCTGCAGTGCCGTCCGTCCGTAGGTTAAATCAGTTATAAAGTGTAGTTCCACTTTTGCAGCCAAATTGGGAAAACACCTACGTTACTACTCGTATTTGTTACATATTTCCATTTACATGGCATAGCATTAATACAAATATTTTAAAACTTGCTGCTTACCTTTTACATTCTGAAAAGTCCTATAAAAATCTTACTTAGCTTTCCCTTTCTATTGTGTCACTGGGTCGCCTTGAGGAAAGGACCCTGTACGGCCCAAAAATCCTTGACTATTTGCCTATGTGACATTATTTGCAATAAATGATACTTTGCATGTCTGAGTGCTGGTGACCTATCATCAGATCTCCGTGGTTCTGTACAGCACCATCCGTGGCAATTGCTTCAAGCACCTATCTTATCTACACAACATTGTATGGTGTGCAGCAGGGACCTTCAACAACTAAAAAAAGTGAGATTTTTAATGTTTATCACTATGAGTAAAACATACTTAGCTTGCTGATCACGGGAAGAAGTTCGCTCCAGGTATGAAAGTATTCTGCTCTGAATCCATCCAGTGAAAATAAGATGACTGGAGGCTGAGAGAACCTAGAAAATACACAAAAACAGGTATAATGGATTATGATATATTTCAAGAATAATCAAAAGTGTTTTTTTTTTTTTAAAGAGATTATGATGTTTAGTATCTATACATTTTCTAATTAATTTCCAAAGAAAGAATCCTATGATTACTAATTTGCAGAAGTTATTAAAAGGAAGTGTGCTGCCCCCAGCGGTTATATGGGCCATGCAATTTCATTATTGTTTATTTACTGTGTATTACTATAGGTACTGTTGTGTGTTATGCTGCCACCTTGTTGTAATTTTTTTCTAGGGGTGTACCGATATCGCTTTTTCGGTATCGAATATGAGTACCGATAATTTTTTTCGGTGCTCGCAGATTCTGAATACCTATACCGGACGTCCCATTAAAGAAAAGCCATCTCGTATGTAATGACTCGATTCCTGATTAGCCGGGAAGCCGTCTCCATGCTCCCTCATCACCAGGTGACGAGGAAGCATGGAGCCGGGTTCTGGCCAATCAGGAAGCCGGGAGGCAGGTAATGACTCGCCACAAGGCTTCCTGATTGGCCAGCTTGCCGACCAAGCAGGAAGCTGGGCAGAGTGTCAATACACGCCGCCCGGCTTCTTACTTGGCCGGGAAGCCGGCTCCATGCGTCTTTGTCACCAAGTGACGAAGGAGCATGGAGCCAGCTTCCCAGCCAATCAGGAAGCCAGGGGGCGAGTCATTACCCGAGTTAAACTCTGTATTGACTTCATATTAATATTGTAATGCAGTAATCAAAGGCAAATTAAGACAAATAGGCACACGATCGTTTCCAGGATAATAAATGCCACAGATCAGCAGAACAGTGACTACACGGGGGGGGGATTTTTTTTTCTGGTTAGGTGAGAGTTCTAGTTAGTTGAATAACGGATAAGATAGAGTTTACTGTATTTGGTTAAGCTATCTGATGAAGATTGCTTGTAGTGAACTCACCCAGCTGGACAAATGGGTGTTTGCAGGTCTTCACATTTTTCTTCTACCCAGCTTTTGTTTCCTAAAAAAAAAAAGAAAGAAAGAGACTTTTCACAATACTTGTCTGAAGCTACACATTACAGAAAAATAAAACCCCCACAAAAACAGTTCTGAATCTAACTGTATTGGCTTGCTGGTTAATTACTAACTTAATAGTAATAACGCTGAAAAATTTTCTATAAGTTGAAATTAAATTGAACATTTAAATTATTATAGGCATACTTTTTTTTATAAAGGAAAAGGACTACATGGAGAGTGCAAAACCAATATAGATCAAATTTTACTTGAATATGGTCAAATCATGAATTAAGGGGCAAGTATTGGGAGAGTAATATGTACTCCTCCTAATACCTAGAGCCAATGTGTGACACTGCAGCTATCACATCACAGGGGAGGGGGTGGGCACAGCTGGTTCTGGCTCTAGAGAGGCAGAGTCAGCTGTCAATCAGGCAATGGGGTAGACGCTGACAGTATTGTTGGGATCTTTCCCGGCTGCAGCGAGGCTCTGCACTGTCAGCAAATACTAAATCTACTCCTCTGACCCAAAAGAGGGCTAAAGCCAAAAAAAGGTATGGTTTTAGTTCTCTATTAAAGTGACATTAAACCCTCAGATTTGTTAACATAAAACAATACTGTAATGTGTGCCTTACTGTAATCCATGGTTGTTTCCCTTCTCTTTGCTGCTCTTCCTTTTAAATCTGTATCTCTTCTCATGCTGGGCAGAACTTCTGTTTTGCAGCAGACTGCCTTGTCTGAGGAATAGATACACGGTGTCTGTGTGTACGTTTGCAACCTGAGCCAGCACTACAGGAAGAGGCACTCAGCTGCAAAGGGAAGTTCTCCCCAAGCATGAGAAGAGATACAGATTTAAAAGGAAGAGTAGCAAAGAGAAGGGATACAACCATGGATTACAGTAAGGCACACATTACAGTATTGGTTTATGTAAAGAAATCTGAGGGTTTAATGTCACTTTAAGTGAAATTTGTTTAGCAAGGTTAACTACACTTTGAAGATACATTTTGTTTTTCAAGATCTTATTAAAGCGTTCTGTCTGCCAGTGTTATCTCTTTGACCAGCTTTGCATAGTGAATTGTTCAACAGCAACAAGAAGCACAGAGGTGAGAAGAGGAGTTCCAAAGTTAAAATGTCAATTAAAGGTAGCATGACTAATGGTGACTTCAGCCTTGAAGGGAGACTATCCTGCTAGAAATACAGAGCCTTCCATTGTTCACCTCTGCTTCTGAAAAAGATAGTTCTGTCTGGTTTTGGTGACTGCATGCTTCATCTGGGTCAATGGTTGAGAAAGTACCAAAGTCAAATTATCAGCAATAAAGTCAGCCAACTGGCTTTTTCAGATTAAGGTCACGTGGAGATGATATGGACATGGAGGTGCATTACTCCCAGCAAATATTGCCATTGAGGCAAAGTTTAAATTGCATTGATCACTTTCAGAGAAACCTTTAGGGGTTAAAAGCAGGAAAGACACCCTGCCAATAATTATCCTATGCCAATAGCTAATTCTACATTAAGAATACCATTTAAGGAAAAAAAAACTCATCAACTGCATAACCAAGCTGGTTGAGGACAAGGAATTCTTAGGATACTTCTATATAACCACTAATTGAAGGCTCTACAACTCCAATACATAAGGGGCATTAGCTTTACACAGTGTCAGGATTTCTAGATGGGAGAATGATAAGCTAAGCAAGCTGTGGCCCATTCCTCAAAAAGGCAAGGGGACAGGTACCTAGAGGGCAGCAGCTGTCATCTAAGCTGTGATCTAAAACAGGAAACCGCCTGTAAAAAGTGATAATAGCTATTTTGTTGTCATGCCATAACACAGTGCTTCTTAATATGGGGTCCCGCAAGGGAACAGGGGGGGTCGCGATCTGAGTCCCCGGCCAGGACCGCCATCAGGGGGGTACCAGACGGCCGGGAAGGCCTGGGCTCCAAGCAAGTTTTTTTTTATTTTCGTTTAATGTGTAGTGTAGTTGTTAAGGTCGCGGGTCCCCCCTGTGCACTTGGTATCTTCCTGAGCACATGCACGCAAGAAGGTTTTTTTTCCCCCATTGACGGAGCTTTCTTTTGGGGGGGGTGGAGCAGAGGAGAGAGCCACTGACAGACGCTAGGGGAGGGGAGAAACACCGACCAACGCTGGGGGAAAGAAGGGAGAGACACCGTCTGATGCTGGGGTCACGTGAAAATTTCCTTAGCCAAAAAGGGGTCACGAGTGGAGAAAGTTTAAGAAGGCCTGCCATAACGCATGCCAGAGAAAAATATCCACATTAGGTTTTAATCAGCTTATTACTAGACTGACTCACCTCTACAAACAGAATCATAATTAATACAGCAGTCATTTGCGTTTTTACAGTCATCAGAGCAGGAACACAGACTGCCAGTTAACCTCTTCTCGCCACATCGTAACCTGTCACATGTCCAGATGTGAGCTACACAAGAAATAACACCATTTAAAGAAAAAGTGATTAAGCTTCTTTTTTTCAGTGGGTTACATGTACTACTTCATGTACTACTTTATAGTTTTTCTGTTTCAAAGCATAATGGTGGTAGATCTTCATAAAAGTAGTGGGATGTGATTATTTTTCCTCTTGGCAGAGTAAATGTACTATTTTCTAAATCTGAGCAATTCAAACTAAGCATGTGAATAAAAAATACATGATCAGAGGTTACTTTCAGTGAAGACCATATCCCAGAACAATCAGTGGATCTACAGATACTGGCAGCTAAACGTACAGGTATATTAAAATCTCAGTTTTTCTCATGTGCTTCCTCAGCCTTCAAGTTGGTCAGTGAGGCTGACATGAAATGTTCAAAAGGGAGGCCCCAGAAATGGGAGAGATGGCCCCAAACTCACCAAATACTGGGAAAAAAATGTTTTTTCCATTGTTTTGACATGTAGTCTCTGAAGGTAATCCCTGCATATTTATTTTTTATCAAGTACTCAGTTTTAATTACTCATGCTCGTAACAAGTTTACTTTAAGTGCAGTCATTCAGTAAAGATATTGATCACAATGTCTGCTATCTAGCATATCCATCTGCATTTCACACAGATGACATTTTCGCAAACAAGCAGATAAATAAAAACAAAAAAAACAACATTACATATGGCTTGCAGGTAATTTGTAATAATATAGAGTCAGAATTAGTGTTGACTAGTTAAAATAAGCAGTATTTTCCTATTATTGATGAAAGATTGGAGAGAAAAGAGAAAATCTTAAGCATGCTAGAGTTAAAGCCCAACTCGCAGGACATTAAAAGGTTTCTCTTGCAGCACTGCTGCCCCCACACAGGGTTAACTGGTTGCTTTGTCACTAGGGGACAGGAAAAAACGGTTTTACTTACCTGATCCGCTCTGGCTGACAACTGTCCCTCGGAGTCCTCACATAAATTGCAGGCATTGTACCTGATGTCAGCGGTCCTTCAGAGTGAAGGGGACAAGAAGCTGCGGGGATGGGACTAGTAGCCTGGAGGAAGCCAGCGGAGCAGGAATCAGGGAAGTAAAACAGCTTTTTATTGTCCCCTAGGTAAGTGAGCAGTTAAAGTTAGAATAAAGTCAAAAGGTTTTTAATAAATTCCAAATGCTGATTAAATCACTTACAATGGATGCCACTTGATGTGCAAAAGTTTAATTTCCTGCAGAATCAGCTTAGCCCTTATTTACTGTTTTAGGGTGGCTCCTTTCCATTGCAGGGTCCTATGGAGACACCCTTGTGTGTGCTCGTAAGCTGTGTGTGTCTCCACAAACACACAGGTACAGCAAAGCAAAACATTCCCATGCTTCCTGCCCCCCCTCTCCTCCAAGCTAGTAGATGAATGGCTGCTGGAGACTGCTCTGTCTCTTCTGATCTTGTACTGGACAGGAAGTTCAGGAAGTGGAGCTGATAGAGTTGTAGCCAGCTGTCCGGAAACATGATGACTAAGAGCTTGGACAAAAATGTAAAGAAATACTTTGCTGGGCAATGTATATTTGTTAAATCTGGATTCATTATTGAAACAAAGTTTGAGAGTTTAATGCTACTTAAACCCTTAAGTGGGGGGAAGTCATAATGTAAAGGTAAAATGTTTTATTTCCCTGGAGTTGGGCTTTAATTAGTTAACTCTAATCCAACAGTCTTAGGGCCTGGGTCAACAGACTTTTGTTTGCTTCAAATGGGTTTTGCATTCCCTTACATGTCTATGGGAATGCAAAACCCACTTGAAGCAGGTCAAATATAGGTCAGAATGAAGATAATTGCAAGTCAAATGCACGCATCAATAAATTCTGAATTCCCAGAAGTGTCTCAAACTGAATAGGAGAATGTAAGCAGAATGTCAAATGTATGCAAACATGTCAGCATATACAATACAATGCAAAACAATATACAATAAAACACAAAACAGCACGTTTAGATTTTAGATAGAAACTAGAGAGCTGTCGGGCAATTTTACGTTTAGCAAACTAGAGTTATAAAGCTTTGATTGCACATCTGCATTTTCTGAAATACACAAAAAATATACTGATGAAATATTATTAATGCAAAATAATGCAAATGCCCAGTGAAAGCTGAAGCTGTAAACTATTCTACCCTATTATCGTATTTTCTTGTTTTTGTTGTATAAGAAACGCATAAAACTGGTAGTAAATAAAGAAATCTGAGATCCCTCCCTTCCTGTTGTCTTCAGAAATTATTTTTGTTGATCAATTTAAATTCGAAATTAGTGTTAGAGTTGGAGAAAGTATGTTCCTATATCAAAAACTTGATTACTGCATTTTTTGAGACAATACATTTTTGGCGAATATGTGCTTTTAAATGTATATCCTTTACATACCGTAGGAGAAGTAAAATTATGATGCTATGTTGACAGTCAGGGTTTGTGGTTTTTGTTACTAAATGGTGCAGTTTAGTAAAACTGCAAATTTTGAACATTTTTGCCAGTACTGTAGTAAAGTCACAGCACCTGGTAATTATGAAACTTAAACCTGCTGCCCACAACAGTAAAAGGTAACAGAGAGAACAATAAGCCTCAAAATACTGAAACCAAATGGATTCAAAATATATCAGTTGTCCAGTCATAGTACCAAAAACCAAGTAAATGTTGGTAGCCAGGCAGCAAATGTACAAATTATGGAGCCCTATTTATAGAAAAGTGTTATGATATAAGTGGACCTATAGGTATCAATTTATAAACAATTTGCAGAGCCGTTTGCTTTGCTAATATCTGTGTACATTCATTTTGGGCATATAATGCCAAAAACAAATGTTTTACTTTATATATTTCTCCAGTTTGAATGTATTGTCTTGTAATAACAAATTTTTGTCACTGGAAAAAGCTGAGGGGCATAGGAAATATATACAGATTATGTATTATTATTAAATACATATAAAATATTTCTTCAATTATTATTAAATACTTAATTAAATTACTTAATTAACTTATTTATTAAATACTATTTATTTACTACATTAATTATACCTAAATATAACCTCTGTGTAAGTCACTCCAGAATAAGCACAGGTGGCTCCATGGAGGGTAGCCAGGTGGGTACTTCCTAAAGCTTGTGCTATGTCTCTGCATCCTGCATCGTCAATGACATTCAACGACATTGAGAAGCAGCAACACGTTATGTTATGCCAGCAGTTGTGTTTCAGTATCACTAGATAACAGATGAAAAGGAGTTGGGCAACAAATATGTAAATGAAAAACACCAACTGCTTAGCAGGTTAGCATCAGCTTTATTACCTGGTTGTATGCATAAATCTTCATAATCTAAACAGCAGTTTCCAAGCTCAACACAGGCACTATCACAGCGACAGCTTCCAAATTTTCGTTCAAGGCACCTATTTTTGCAGCTGTTAACTGTAAAAAAAATATTAGAATAGGTTTTATTTATTATTGTAATATAGAGATTTATTTTTATGTTTTCCTATATATATATATACCTATATACATCCTATATAAAAGAAAAAAAGCTGATGTTCTGACTGCCTCACAAATTTCTTGAGGTCCTAAAATGCTAGGACAGTACAAAACTCCCCAAAATTACCCCTTTTTCGAAAGTGAAAACCCCAACGTGCTGATTTTTTGCCACAATTTTTTGGGGGAAGAAACATACTAGTATTGAGGTGGTTTAATGTTGCCTCCTGAAGCCATGTAGTAACCTAGTGTGCCACTAAAGCCACACAGTGCTTTCAGCATTACTGTTTAAAGAATTGAGTCCACCTACTCGCTGTCTTTTTACAATACGGTAGTAAAGTGGTTGAAGTATATCTAAAGCCAAAACTTTTTTTTGAATAGGGTAGGGAATGGTTAAAACCCAGTGGGTTTTTTGTTTTGTCATCTGTGACCTAGTCTTGAGATCTTTATTCACTTTCCAAAGTTAGTTAAGTGTCCTCTTAGACAATTGTCACAGGAACAAATGTCCCCATTGGAAGATTTCTCCTCTGTTCTATTGTGATGGCAACTCAAAATGTTGGACTCTCGCTCACCTTCAGTCCTGGTGACAGCAGTCAGCAGGACAAATGAGAGGGTAACTCTCCCTAGCACAGTTGGTAGTTGTGGGTAGATCCAAAGGTTGTACAATCAGAGTGTAAAATGTGTGGTCAGCTTTCGATCGACCAACAACTATTACATATATATTTAACAAAATAAAAATTAAAAATATATTTTATAAATACGTGAATTTTTAGGTAGGTCGAAATAGGAAACAATTTTTGTAACTCTAAAGGAGATCTCACAGAGATTTTGCAATTGAAATGTGTATGGTTGGCTTAAAGAAGAACTCTGGGGAAAAAAATATTTGCCCTTGCAATGGGTCTACCCCTGCACTGCAAAGGTTTACAACTCATTTTTGTCTAGGTGCTAAAAGAAAATAAATAAAAAAAAACTACTGAGCCGGCTTGCTCTTAGACCAGTCCCTAGAGCCTCTCTCCCCCTCCTCTGCAGTGTTCCAAGAATCCTTGTGTCATCACATTCTAAGTGTAGAGACGTGAGGACACTGAGAAACATTCCATCTGTGCAGTGGAGGAGGAGAGTGAGCAGCTTCAGTGAGCAGCAGGGAGCCAGCTTGGCAGTTCCAAGGAATATAACTGGGTTGTTTTTTTTAGCACCTAAACACAAATGAACAGTTAACCCTTGCAGTGCGGGGGTAGCCCCACTGCAAGGGTTTGTACAATTTTTCCACAGGGTTCTTCTTTAAGTTGCTACCAAATCAATTTCTAAATACCATTTTCATATTTCCCATTTTGATAGAGGGTAGGAGACCCCTCCTGCTTGTACACACAGCAGTGTACGACTCTTGAAACACAACAGTTAAAGTTGTGGTAAACCCCTGGAAATGAACTTTAAAACCTTCTTCCTGGGATAAATGATATCCTGTTCCAGGTCACTACTAAACTTACTAACTTTAGATGGAAAGTAAATTCCAAAACCACCAGTACTTTGAGTAATGTTCATTACTGATAGTGTATTTTGAATAATTGTCCAGGAAACTATCAATAAACTCCCATTATGGCATTGTCCAGACAGGACTTTTAATTCCTAATGTGATAACATATAAACCACTTTGATCTAAGCTTGGTTCTGGAAGACATTATGTTCCCTTTAACAAGAGAGATTATTTGTTACCTTCCCTGGAACAGCTAGGCTTAAGTCCAAATATGCATCCCAGGATGGCTGTTAATATGCACACACAGATTACCTAGAAAGAAACAATGGAAAATCCACAATCACATAACAAATATTTGCCTTTCTTTTGTGTTGCTTGTATGAATAAAATACAAGGTTTTGAAATTTGGCCTGCTCAGCTTTTCCCTGGACTTTTTTTTAAATAAGAGTTCTAAAGTGCAGTAACCCATAACAACCAAACAGCAGTCACTCTGCTGCAGACCAGTAACATATGGCATTCAAATAACGGTTGCTATGGGTTACTGAAATTAGGAATTATCACAAAACAATTCAAACCTGTATTGAGAGACCTGTATTGGGTTAACCTTCTTCAGAAAATGTTAGTTGTTTGACTATCAGGCTGGTCCAAAGGCCTTGATACTTTTTGAGTTGCTGACCCAAGCAAGCATGCAGAAACTAAAAGGCAGGACTCTTCATTTGCTTGTTCTGCATCACTCAGTGACTTAAAAGCTACTAATGCTAATCCTGAGACGAGAAAGAGGTACACCTTATGGTACAAATTATATAATCAAAGGACACAACCCCTGCCACGCCTCCAGTGACATGGATCACAACTAATGAATATGAAAAACTGATTAGTTAAGTTTTCACCACTTTTCTTTTTGCTGGCCTTTTAAAATAACAAATGCAATCATTATGAGGGTTATTCACAAAGCTGCCGAAGGCAGCCAAGTGAATGACCCACCTGACGTGAAGTGAGCCGAACGCTGTTTGGCTATTCACTTCAGGCTTGTACAGCTGTTTTCTGCCATATATCGGCTGGCTTCAGCTGCATTTCAGCCAGCCGAACATGCTCTGCCTGTGAATAGCCCGTACAGCAGCCCTTCGGTTCAGTCGGAGCTACGGCTGATCCTTCGGCTAGCTTTGTGTATAACCTCCTTAGGATTCTGGATAAAAAGTTAAGTGCAGTAAAACACTTTTGATATCTGTAGTTTCTGATTGCTTGAGAGTTAACTAGTAAATCTCAAGAAACCACCTCATGGTGCCTCCCCTCACCCACGGCCCCATTTGCCAGCCGGCTAGATACCACATCTGACAGGCAAATGAGCAGTAGCCAGACTGTTATTGGGTATTTCATATTGCAAGGCCCTGCCCATTGACCAGAGGAGCAGACCTAAGAGATAAAATTCTCTCTCAGGTCCACTCCTTTGTTCAGTGGGCGATGCAATAGCTGCTATTGGCTATTTCGAATTGCAATAGTCAATAGCAGGCTGGCTATTGCACCCCCCTCACTGAGCAGAGGAGTGGACCTGAGAGAGAACTTTCTCTCTCAGGTTCGCTCCTCTGCTCAGTGGGCAGGGTTTCAATAGCCAGCCTGCCATTGGCCATTTCAAATTCCAATAGCAGGCTGGCTATTGCTCCCCGTTGTTTACATTCTGCTGCCAACCGTGGAATCTAGCCGCCAGCAGCAAGATGTAAACAAAGAATTTCCTTAGCAAATAAAATATTTTAGTTGCCAAGGACATTTTTTAGTGTGCCACACGCAACCAATATTTTTTTAGTGTGCATCAAGCCGCCAGCAAAAAAAATAGTCTTCAATGCCGGATAATGGGGAATTTGCTGTATTTACATTGTATTGGATCTGTGGCAGGCAGGATCTGTATTGTATGTATTGTATTATATCTGTGGCAGGACCAGCTATTCAAGCAAATGTTTACTGTAAAAACGCCACGCCTAAAACAGGTCATTGTCTGTCACATGCCTGCAGCAGTCAGAATTGTGTTTCCGGCTCTATTTATCTTGACTTTCTGCCTAACTTCAGCTACTATTAGGCCCCCATGGTGATGGGCTTTGGGTTTGTCAATGGTATCCATTTGAGATGCTTCTGAAACTATTTGTGGCTTGGTGTCACCACATTAGATGAAGACAAGAAGCCACACCACAGATTTTATCCTCTTCACTGGATTTTAAAGCATCATGCCCATTGCCAGAAAGCTATTCACTATCTGGATGATTTCCTCCCTATAGAATCCCCAACAGAGTTCCTCATGACGTAAACAGTTTATTGGATACGTTTAAGGCCCTCAATGTCCCTGTGGCGGCCCGTAAGGTGGAAGGTTCCGAGCATATCATTACCTTTCTGGGCATTACCTAAAGTACTATTTCTGGGCATTACCTTAGTAATTAAGGGAAGCTAGTCTCCCACAGGATAAGTTAATTAGCATCAGGGATGCAATGCACTCAATGGTCATTTCTCCAGGTTGCTCCAGGAAACAACTGCAGTCCGTATTAGGTATCTTGAATTTTGCAGTGAGGATTATACCAAAAAGGAAGGTCTTTTATTTCAAGGCTTTGTCCAGATAATCCACAGGTAATCACAGCATCTGCCATTACATGCAAATGACCTGTGAACGGCTGCGGGCAGTGGCAGCTGTCACTGTACAACGCCTCCCACCCACAGGAGATTTCATGAGTCTCACAAAGGATTTTGTGAGACTCAGCGATCTGGCTCTATTTGCATGTGTGAACAGGGTCTTACTGGCAACAGGTAACAAAACTTTGTAATGGGGGAACTCAGAAAAAAAAAAAAAAAGACTGTTGTGTTATTTCTAGTGACAGAGAGCATCATATATGTCAGCGGCTTTTTTTTGCCTAAAGTTCCACTTATAGCTCATTCTGTTTCCGGATTACTGATTATTTTTACAAATTTTTTGATAAGGTAACCACTCATTATACATTTATCTAATCCTCTATTTGAATTTCCCAAGTTTGTGGCAGGTTTACTTCAAGTAATAAAAATAAATACAAGGTGGTGTGGAACATTTAAAAAATAACTAGACTCACAGTGTGTTATGATTGATTTCTATGAGGTCATCTAGTGCTCAGTTCAATGGAGCAAATAACATGTTTTATTTATTAAAGAGCAGGATAGGGAGGAGAACATCACATACAGGGTTTCCAGATCATGTAGGAATCCAGTATTACTTTCCTGGCACGGAACAGTGCTCCTTTATGAACCAACGCTTCCTGCGTCCCACAAAGTACTGGAGCCAAAAATTTATATAAATCAAAATAACATTTAATCCATTTAACTTATGACTGTATGTATAATATATCTAGTATGGAAAGTATGATAGCCGTTGCATAGCTTCTTATCTACCATACTCATCGCTAACAGCCCAGTAACCAGCCAGGTGCTGTTAGGTAAACCCTACCATATAAAATGATAATGACTCCAGGCAACAGTTATGAGGCTTAATTCACTAAGCTGTAATAAAAGCAATTTGCCATTATGCTCTGTTATAAAAGCCACAGAGCTGAAGATAACAATCCTTATGAAAATATAGGTTTGTTATTGCTTAGTGAACTGAGAACAAAAGCATGCAAGATCATTGTGCGCTGCTAGACCTATGAACTAGAAAATTGGCATGGGGGATTCACTGACTGAAACTCATTTTTAATTTTTATCTTTTGGGCAAGCCAGTTCGGTCATCGGTAGTCTTCTTTTCTTTTACAGTATCTTTGGCAGTTATGTATTAACCACAAATATACTGGGAGGGGGGCATTGATTAATTCTGTCCACTTTAAGGCATTGCTAAACAAGAGCCGTGTAATTTATTACAAGGTTACTTGTAGTTAAACGAGAACTATAGCCAAACCTTTTTTTGTCTTTAGTTCTATTTTGTTTTACAGGAAAACATTTACTTATGTACTCTGTGGATCCAAAGCGGGATCCACTGCCCGCTTTATGCTGACAGAGCAGAGTAATGCTGCAGCCGGGAAAGATCCTGACAATATTGTTGGGATCCACCTGGCTGCATGATTGACGGCTGGCTCTGCCTCTCTAAAGCCAGATTCAGCTGTGCCCACCCTCTCCCCTGTCTGTCCCGCCAATGAGCAATGGAGGAACAGAGAGGCGGTCTCTGCAGGGAGGATACCGTACTCAGAGATCAGTGGTTTGTGATCACTCAGTTCTCAAGCTAAAGAGCCAGCATATGACAGCTGCCGTGTCACATGCCGGCTCTAAGTATTAGGAAGAGTACATTTTACTCTCCCAATAGTTCTCCCTTCATTCATAAATTCTTTCCTCAGCTGCTCTAAAGTAGCACTGTGACAGAATTAGAGCTGCAGCCAACGATTATTTAAAAAAATTGATTTGCTAGCCGATTAATCGGATAAAAAATAAAAGAAATGTTAAAAAATGGCTCTAGTGATGGGACTACTAGTTTGTATTGAGATTATAGTCCATCACAGGAGCAAGCTTGGAGCTGTGGAATTAAAAAAAAAAGTGTGGTGTGCAATATAGTGAAATGGAAAGTGTAAAATTATACAGCAATAAATGCAGAATGGCACCGGCTATAGAGGACTACAACAAATCCAAGCAATAGTACATTATAGCTGGCGGTGTTCTGCATTGCGCTGTATAATGTACTATTGCTGGGTGACAGAGGGAGAGGGCTAGCAGACAGTGGATGTGCTGGTCTCCATATTACTATGCACAGACTGGCGTATCCACTGACAGTCTGCCAGGGTAGCTGTTGGCCAAATAAAATCTTGTAGAGGGCCTGTAGTGGCCCATGGGCAGCAGTTTAGAGACTTCTGGCTTAGAGTGAACATTTGTCCTAACATCCTTCAGTAATAAATTTGTCTCATAGCTTTGCAAACTGTCACATTTAGCTGTCCAGAAATATAAACACACAGGACTGTAAACCTGTCACAGATATTTTGCTGAAGGAAAGACACCCTGATTTGCCACATAGCAATTTGCTAATTTGCTTGATAAATGTTCCCCATTGAGTTAATGTTTATTTCTTTGGCAAGGAGTCAGGCTTTTGTTTCTAGTGCCATAAGGCATGGCCTCCAGAACCAGTCTCCTACCAACAGGAAGCTAGCTCTCTAACGAGATCAGGTTTAAATAAGAGTAATGAATTTTTGTATGATCCATAAAGCTGGCTTAATGCAAGCATGAAGATGGTCCAAGACCTGTGATTAGAAATTGGGCATGGGCTGCCAAAACATTTTCGTGCACCTTCATTTTCTAATTAGGATTTTTACACACTATTCCTGTATGAT